TTGTAATATAGTATTGTATTATAAATTATAAAGAATGCTATATTTCATTTTATTTATTTTTTATATTACGCTATGTTATATTACTGTCCAAATGGAATAGCTATGTGTAAGATCCTATAAAAATATCCTATTAGATACTTGTGACGCCCTTTATTAGATCAGTTTAGATTTTTAAAGCAGGATATATATTTTATGGTATACAGTATTATATTACATATTATACAGTATGTTTTAGTTCATTATATTTTATATGACATTATAAAATACATGACATTATATAAAAAAAAACCTATTAGACACTTGTGATCCCCTATATTAGATTAGGTTAGACTATAGCAGGATATATGTTTTACAATATACAGGATTATATTATATCATGTTATTATTTGTTCTTCATGGCAGGAGTCTGGCACTGTTAGAGAACTAATGTTTCATGTGGTATAGCATCGTCTTAGGGAAAGCGATGATGTAAACTATAGCTTCTAGTTGATAGTGATGGCACCCCTGTAAAATACCATCTATGGAACCCTGAACATCTGCTTGTTTTTGTCCCCAGGGGCTCGGCATGGGCCAATACCATCTCTCAGTACCTCCAGGCCATTCTCCTCTTTGGTTACATAGTGTGGAGGAAACTTTACGTGGACACCTGGGGAGGTACCGACCACAAGACCTGGAACCCCAAACCCATTTATTAGTTGGGTGTTTCAAATGCAGTTGTGTTAGAGCTCCAGTTTGTGTATAAAACATTCCCAAAAATCTTCCATCCTGCTCATTTAATTGGTGTACTGCCTTTTTCATGGAGTCTGACAAGAGCTTGAAATATAATTTCAGCCATCCCCCCAGCTCTGCCTATGCTGCAGAGTTGCCCTATGCTGCAGTGACCCTTCTAACCTTCTTAGACAAGGGCAGATCATTCCATTCAACAGTCTGATTGAGGAAGTTGCTGCAGTAGCTAGATTAGGCAAACACAGTTAGAATCTGCATTGAATTTTGCTAAAATGCTTGCAGTGTTCTTTTTATTAGTCGCTTAAGAAAGAATTTCACTTTATTGAGTTTCCTGCTTTAATATCCAGCAATTCCATACTTGAAACCACTCCTTGTAGAAACTAGGAAGCATGCCCTCATGTGCTCACAATCACCCTTTACGGCCAGAGTGTTCTAGGTTGCTAAGACCCCGGCCAACTCCAGTGATGTCAGTGAGCTGGGCGGGACACCAATCAGAGCTGCCTTGCACCCTTAACCCCCCTCTCCGGTAAAGTGCTCCAACACCACCCCCCTAAACATGCACCGACAGCACCAACACCCCCTTCCCCTTTCAGGCAGCGAAAGTGTTAATATACATAGCTGCCTTGTGTCATGATTAGGTGGCCAAAATGGTACTTCAATAAATATCTGGGTGTTTCCTACCAAATTCTTGCACTTTCCATTATTATTAGATCCATCTAATAGGTTAAAACCGAACTTCAGCCATTTTTTGTAGTTTTAGATAGGGTGACAAATAGTTAAAAAAGGAACCTCACCCAGCTATCCAAAAAGTAAAAGTCAACCACTACAAGTGCTGTAGCTGCTGCCTATAAAACACACATTTACCAGCCCAAGAGTTCCAGAGCTGTCCTCCTAGAATCCAAAGCCTTCACAGCTATATTTTTCCTGAGCAGCCATATTGGATTTGGGAGCCAGATGTGACTTCCTGATCACTTACAGCTGACCCCCTACTGCAAATTTGTGAGATTTGCTGACTAGGGGAAACTGTCCTCAAGTCCCCTGTCATGTGTGATGTGTTTCATAGATGCTGTGGGCAAGGGGAGGCAGACCGAGGCCTACGTCATCCTTGCCTACTTGAGGAATAAGGAAGTGGGAGCAAGCAGCTGCTGAAAAATGGCACTTGCTTCTCAAAACAAAAAATCAAAATGTGTAATAGGGAGGGGAGAGGGTTAGACGGATTTCATAATTGTGGGTGCAGGTCCACTTTGACATTTCTGGTAGGTGACCCCATTAGGGATATTTTCTCTCACTTCCTGTAACACCCCTACAAGAAATGGGAGGTGTGGTTATCACAGGGAGAGGAAGGCACAGGCAGCAATAGAAACATTAAGTTTTGACCCTTCCACACTCTACTAAAAAGGTGTTTTTGTTTCTGTCTGTGACCCTGTTAGATTTCCCACTAGGGAAATTGCCCCACAAGGGACACAAACTGCAATAAAAACCCAATGCTCTAACACTTCCTGCAGTTGGTCTTTAATTTCAAGTGTTCATTTTTTTTAAACTAGATTCATTTATTTCCCTCTTGCACTTTCTCAACCAGGGTGCTATGGCAGGGGTGCCTTCAATTTCTTGTTAAAGAGGGGAACTCTGATGTGAAGGGGGAGGGGTGTCTGTGCGAAAAGAGGGACACTGATGTGACGTGGGTAACTCCACTTCCTGCTTAGGATCCCCCTTAAAATCCATACTAGACCCATGTCTAAGATAAGGGTTTGGCGTTGATATTGGGGGGACCACACATGTTTTTTTACCATTTATGTTTTTTACATTTTAGACTGAAGTGCCTCAAGATTTTTAAAAGGTGCTGTGACAGAAAAATGAGAAACGCTGCGCTAAGCATTTTATGTAATTTTCCTATCACAACCTAAAAACTTCATAGAAAGCTATATAGCATCTGATTAGACTGTCTGTTATTTGAATTTCCTTTTCCACCATGATTGGTTCCAAGGCCTGCTAAGAAAGGAAAACACAAAAAGGGAATTTGCTGGCTGTCATGCCCAGTTACTTACAAAGGGCCCATATCTATGTTACCACGCATTACCATCTGAAATATACCATCACTTTCTTTTATGTTATGTACATTTAAAAACGGCAAATGATTCCAATATCCTAACCCTGATATCAAATAGAAAATGTTCATGTTTACAAAATGTTGGGCCCCTGATAGGCTTGCATCTTGGGTAATATAATATTCTGGAGTGAAAGTATTAGACAAGTAGAGTGGAGGGGTTGGACGTTACTAGTACTTAATAGAGATGCACCGAAATTTCGGCTGCCGAAATATTGTGGCTGAAAATGATACTATGGGCAAAATGCCAATAGTACCATAACGGCCGAAAATTCAGTGCATCCTGACAGCTTCTCTCCTCACCGCTGGACGCCAGTCTGTGTCCCCTCTGATGCCCGTTGCTCTCCCCCGCCTGTGTCGGCAGAGGCGGCGGGATCCGAGGGGACACAGAGGATCCAGTTGCCAGCGCCCAGAGGGGAGGAGAGAAGGTTTCAGGATGCCGAGCGAGGCAGCGTGGGGAGGAGAGAGCTGTCAGCTCTCACAGGAGGCCGAGCTCTCCTTCCGCACCAGTTGACCTCCTGTGACAGGCGAGTCAGGATGCAGAGAGGAGTACAAACACTCAGTGACTAGAACTGATCGCTGAGTGTTTGTAAATAATTGAGGACATAGTCTGCTTACTGTGTCCCCAGTTATGAATGAACAGGAAGTGCAATACATCACTTCCTGTTAATTTATGATTGTGTACATAGTAACTGATACTATCTTCACAGTTTATGAATGGACAGCAGCACTCAGTATAGTGGCATCCTGTTCATTCATAACAGGGGCTGCAGAAAAAGAGATTGAGGACTCTGTGTCCTCAATCTCTTTTTCTATTTTAAAAGGGGAATATCAGGGCCTGTTTAGATCCCTAATATTTCCCCAAAGCCCCCGACAGTAAAGTTAAAAAAAAAATACAAATAAAAATAATTGAAAAATAATTGTAAAAATGTTAAAAAGGTTGGAAAAAAAGTAATTTTCGGCCTGACAACATTTTTATTTTTCATTTTAGTTTAGGTCTTAAAATTTCATTTCAGTGCATCCCTAGTACATAATTTATATGTAATATTCTTCTTCCCTAGGATGGTCCATGGCCTGCTTTGAAGAGTGGGGCTCTTTCACCCGACTTGCCATTCCCAGCATGCTCATGCTGTGTATTGAGTGGTGGACCTTTGAAATTGGGATCATAATGGCAGGTCAGTTACAGTAACAGACGTCCGATCGTGTTCTGTTAGCTATGTGGTTGCCATGTGTTCATAGTGACTTGTATGGAAGAATTATAGTAAGACATAAACTGATCTCAAAGCCCATGTAAAGCAGCCCTACATTTGGCAATTTGGTGGCTTCTACCACAACCACCTTTCAATCTGTTTCCTAGTTTTCAGTGGACAGGCAATCCAAAATGATGTGGAAATTAATACAATTCTGAATGTCACTTGCTTGCTTGACACTCATTAACATTTTTTATTGAAAGCTAGTTGAAAGCAACAATATTGCTGTGTGTGTGGCCAGTCTTATGCTGGCAATATACTGCTCAAATTTTGTCCAAGTCCTGCTCACTTGGCCATATCTCCATCCGTAGGTGACCCCACCTGCACCCCTTAATTTGATTGACTTTTGGCAAAAGAGCTAGGACAAAAATGATTGGCCTAACAGAGACTGCAGTCAGTCAGCCTCAGTCACTGTTCAGGTATCCTGAAAGCTGAAGGCATCGTCTGTCAGAAGAGCCAGCAGGGGAGATCCGATACTTTTTTTTTCATTCAGGTGCGGGCTAATCGCGAAAAAAGACAAGTTTATGGCCAACTTTACTTTCAGGATCTCAACTGTATGTTAAAATCTGAATGCTATACTCTGATGTGTAGCTTTGGGCATTGCAGGCGCAATCATTGAAGAAGCTGAGAGAACCGAGACAACCAACTAGATTCTTTTTTGCACTTGAATGATGAAGCCTGACTACTATACTATAGGAAATGGCTGCACTTTTGTTCCAGCATTGTTAACATAGATGTAAAACAAATCATCTTATATAAGCTTTTACATACTGATGTCCTTTCAAAAATCAGTTTTTATTAAAATACTGCCTGGTGATCCTGCCATGAAGGTCCTTGTTTAGGCACTTCCTTTTATATGGGGACAACTCTCTGTCCCTGTTCCACAACTATGCTCCTCTTTTGTCACATGGGCTTATAATGGGGAGTAAAAGTGGCCATTACGCAACCATAGTCCACTGTTGTCACCATCAGGAAACCCTGAGAAATGCTACGGGCTGCTGGATATCAGTAGCACTGTTTTTGGTTTTTTTTAAAGTAATAATTTATGATACACAGGGCTTCAGCAAACAAAATGTCATTCAATTTGTGCTTATATACATTTTCAGTCAGCATGATACAGATCTGCTTTGACACTCTGGAGCCCTTGAAGAATACTGGTGACCCTTTAAAATATGAAAAAAAACTCCAGGCATGTCTTTTGCTTTTTCATAGAGTAAGAAGAGTTTGGAACCTACATTGGGTTTTTAATATTACTGTCCATATCCTAATTAGGGAGATTTCTTCTCACTTCCTGTCTCAGTGACTACATAGGTAATGAAGGGAAATGCTCCTCAGACAGCAGTAAAAAAAACTTTTTCCACTCTTTTCAAAACTAGAAAAGAAAGGTTTTGGCTGGAGTTCCAGGTGAAGTAAACATACTCTATATGGCAGTCTAGTGTTTTATGCTGCCCTATTTTCTGCTGTGACACTATCACAAACTACTCCCTCACAATCACAGGTTCAAAAGCAAAATGTTAGTAGATATTTTTTCACTTGTGATTTGCAGTGCATGCTGGGTTATGTAGTCCCATTCTAGATGGATGGGCAGGTATTGGGCAATCTAATCTATAGTGTAATGTGTGCAATGCAGTAACACTGGTGTCCTTTGCCCCCCTCTATAGGAGTACTCGGTGTGGAGGACCTCGGGGCCCAGTCCATAATCTACCAAATGGCTAATATTGTCTTCATGGTAAGAATCTAGTAAGGGATGACGCAGATCTGTCAGACCTTCCTGTAGCTGAGCACTTCAATTTATTATAGAACTACAACAACAACAAAAAAAATCTTGTTAGTTTGGGAACAGTTGGGATGGTTTATAATTTATCTATCTGTAAATAATAGATTGTAAGCTCTTCCGCCTTTTGTATGCTCCCATATAAGCTATTAGAGTGTAAACTCTTTCACCTTCAAAGCTTTTCCATATTCTGTATCTTCTTTTTTACCCTGTTAGAGTTAAGGATATTTCATTTTCAATAACCGACCTATTTACCCTAATATACCGTATTGTAAGCTCTTCCACCTTTTGTGTGCGCCTTTGTACTCAAATAGATGGTAAGATCTTCCACCTTCTGTATCCTCCCTTATACTCTTATAAATTGTACGTTTTTCCATCTTCTGTATCCTCTTTTATCCTAATAGATTGTAAGCTCTTCCATCTTTTATATCCTCCCTTATAGCCTAATAGATTGTAAGCTCTTCCATTTTTTATATCCTCCCTTATAGCCTAATAAATTGTAAGCTCTTCCATCTTTTGTGTGCTCCCTTATGCATAAATAGATGGTAAGTTTTTCCATCTTCTGCATCCTCCCCAATACTCCTATAAATTGTAAGTTCTTCCTTCTTCTGTATGCTCCCATAAACCCTACTAGATTGTAAGCTCTTTAATCTTCTGTATCCTTCCTTACACCCCAATAGATTGTAAGCTCTTCTGTATCCTCCCATATACCCTAATAGATTGTAAGCTCTTCCACCTTCTATATCCTTACTTTAATGCTGGTCACACACATGACAATCCAATCATTTTTCCACCTTTCAGTTCCCTTTTTGATTAAATAGAAAGCCAGGTGACTGACTGAGAAAGTACTAAAGTCATTGGGTTAGCATGACAGTCAGGCAACTAGCCTTTGTAAAAGACGATAGAGCCTCCATGTCTCTCAGTGGTGACTTCCTTTAATAAGCCATGTGCAGCCAATTAGAAGTATTCTTTCACAGATCTGTCTTATGGAAACTGAAATTTGGTTCCTGTCAGTTGCTGCATTTCACTTCATCCCTGCTCCTCGCACTGCATTGTCAAGTCTCTGCATGAATAACCAGGCAGTGGGTTAGACTGGTACTTGTAGTAACCCAACAGCTTATTAGTTTGGCATAGCAGAGATGTAACCATAGGTGCTCCCACTCTGCAGGTGCCCGTGGGCTACAGCATTGCAACCAGTGTTCGTGTGGGTCACTCATTGGGGGCCGGAGACATAGCACAAGCAAAGAAATCCATGGTCGTAGCTTTGTTAATGACAGGTAAGGTGAAGCACTAATCATCTAAAATAAATGGTCCAAAGGCTTCTGGACCCTGTTAAAAAAAAATCCACTTAGAAGTAACAATACACAATTAACCATTCCTTGCCTGAAAACTTAAAGCAGACCTGAACTCAAAAGTGAATATTTGCCATAATATAGGGAAGATTTATAAAAGTTAATTATGCCTAAGCAGTAGCTAACTTTTTGTCTTCCTGAGGAATAGCTTTACACTTCTTGGTATGTGAGGGCGGCTAGGCAATCCTGTTCTGTAGCCTCATAGCTGTATATCTGCTGCTGCCACTGACTGCTAATTTTTGGAGATTTGGAGTGAGTCATTAATGTGCTGCTCAGTGTTCTCCTTGCTGGAGGCTCTGACATGAGGAAGTAAAGCCCTGTCTCTACCAAGATGGGCACCTCCATACAGAGACACAATGTGGAACAAGGCATGGTAAGTCAGTACTGGGGAAAAGATTAGCTGCAGGGAGCCTACAGGCAATACTGGTGATTATTCCTTTGTGGTCAATGTCCCAGTTGAGGACACCTGTCACATAGACAGGGTGTAAGGGAAAGTCTCCCTCATAGGGACACAGACAACAATAAAATCTCAAAAGTGTTATTCAACATTCCTTAGATTGCTGCTAGAAAATGTGTTTGTATTGTTGACTGTGTCCATGTTAATAGAATTGCTGCTTTCTTTGTGTTCTGTCCCACACCCATCAAAGACACATTTTTTTTTGGTTTTAGGTAGAATGGGGAAGAGTAAAAATTTCTGCTAGGGATGCACCAATACCGATACTAGTATCAGTGCCAATACTGAGTATTTGGGCAAGTACTTGTACTCCCATATTTACCTTGGTTCCAGAACAAGTGCCAAGGGAGCATGGCGCTGACTTCTTTTCCAATCAGGAAGCTAGGCGGTTGGTTATGATGGCTTCCTGATGGGCTAGGAAGCCAGCCTCACTTTTTGCAGGTAACACATGGAAGGTGTGTTGCGCGGTAGCGTGCATGAATTGCAAGGAACCGTGTGATTACCACACTGGGGGGGGGGGGGGCTGACTGTCAGTGGGCTGTATGGGGCCCAATGATTTCTAATGGCAGCCCTAGCTGGCTACATATGTCTTTAGGGCTGCAACTAATGATTATTTTTATAATCAATTAGTTGGCCGATAATTTTTTCGATTAATCGGATAAAAAATTAAATAAATACCATCCTTAATTTAAAATGAAATACACAAATGCAGTGTTAAAAACATAAAGTTTACTTCAGAACAAAACTGCATGCACAATTTTTTGCAATTGCACTGCGCTGGAACAAACAGCATTGTGATACCATGCGTTCCAGTGCGGGCGATCACACTATGGGTGGGAGTTGCGTTTGGGATGCCATTGAAATGAATGGCACTGCAACGCACCTTTCGCAGCAGAATTTGTCAGGCCGCAACCAAAAATTTATTTTTTGCCCACCTTTTATAATTTTTTGTTTAATAATTTGATTGTAAGCACATGATGCTTGAATAGCTTCAGCCAGGAAATGACAGCCACCAGTGGCAAGATTCCGCAGACAGCAGCTGAACGTAAATACAGCAGGTAGTGGGCAGATGCAATAGCCAGCCTGCTATTGGCCATTTCAAATTGCAATAGCCAATAGCAGGTTAGCAGGTTGGTGATTGCACCGACCCACTGCTTGCTGTGCCCTCCTCCCAGCATTGACGAGAGAGCTAGGGGATCGAACCACCAAATGGATAACGAGAATAGTTGACAACTATTCTTATTATCGATTTTTATCGACTAATCAATTAGTTGGTTGCAGCCCTATATGTCTTACCTCTCAAATGGGGGCAAGAAAAGTGCTATAAAGTTAAACCTTCTTTGTTCTACATAAAACTAAGAAAATAAAGTTATGTCTAGAATTGAGTTTTAATAAATTACATCTTATATTTGTCCCCGCAGAGGGCTGTGCTTTGACTTGCTGCATCCTGCTCGTCAGCGTAAAAGATGTCATTGCCTATGTTTATACTACAGAACAGTAAGTCTTATTATGGTGTATTTTCCTTCCATATTTACTTCTGCATGTTGCTGTTCTACTGCACAGCACTTGCTGTGTACATAAAATACTTCATATTCGTTACCCCGAGGTAGCTCATAGACTGTTGTCCGTAGAGTCCACAGGCACAAAAGGTACAGGGTCCTGGTAACAATTTTCAGTCAGACACTCCTGATACTTCGAACAGAAGGCATGATGGAATCATTCAGCTTGAAGAATGGGGTCTGGTTATGTCTCCTTAAAGTTATCCTGAGGGCCATGGGGGCTGCCATTGCTGACCTTTATCTGAAATCCTTGGTGCCTGGCTGTTAAGTAGCAGTCCCTGATCAGGAACAAGCATGCAGATCAGGAAAATTAAAGGAGAACTATGGGGTTAGGGCTTTTCCCCATAGTTCTCCTTAGGGTAACGGGAGGACACAAACTAGCGTCCTCCCATCACCCTAAACTCAGTATGCCGCGAGCTACAGCTCGTGGTATACTGAGACGCCGCAGCTGAAGCGGATCCCGACAATTATGTCTGGAGCCGCCCAGCTGCGTGAGTGACAGCTGGCTCTGCCTATCTAGAGGCAGAGCCAGCTGTACCCGCCCCCTCCCCCGTCCGCTCCCCCGGCCAGCGCTGGAGGGTCGGGGCGGGGAGGGGGGAATCCAGCCCCTCCCCTGACACGGCAGAGAGCCGTGACAGGATTGAGAAGTGAGCGAACGCCGATATGTGTTCGCTCAACGCCCGATCTACTGAGCCAACCTGTGAGAGTCTCATTGTCACAGGTTGGCTAGAACTATGAGGCTGAGTGAAAAGCACTCACCTCATAGTTCTCCTTTAAAGTAAAGTAAGAAATCCTTATCTGTATACTTGTGTCAGGTCAAGGACTTAAAGTATTGCAGCCAGAGGACAAAACGAGAGCCAGGCAAGTAGCATATTCAGAAGGAGAGGTCACCAATGGCCGGCTCCATGTTTCTCTCATGAAAGTTTTTTCATTAAAATTGATACATAATAACATTAAATCCATTTTTTATCAATACACCCCACCTGTGAAGTACATAAAAGTTATGAAACCCTGCAGAATATTATATTCTAAAAGGCAGAACTCCATACAAAGTGACCCGTGGAGGAAACTGAGCCCAGGATGGATCCCAGCACTATAAAGTCACAGTGTTAACCACTGAGCCAATGTGCAGCCAGTGGTATGAGTAAGTATCCTATTCCATCTTTACACCTCTGCTGCTTTTTCAGAAATTTCCTGAGCTGTCCAATAAAAATCATAGGAATGTTCACAGCAGCAAAAGTGCTTCAAGAACTAAAATGATTGGCAGGACTCCTGGAAATGCATCGACTCATATATCATATGAATTAAAGCTTACATTTTTTCTTCTCTTCTAGGGAAATTGTGAAACTGGTCAGCTATGTGCTGCCTGTGTATGCCGGGAGTCACCTATTCGATGGATGTGTGGTAAGAGTCCTACATACCTGTCACTTATATAAAAGATAACAAAAGTTTTCTAGAAAATCACACTGCTATAAAGCTATGGTGGTTTGCAAAGAGCCTACTACCGTATTTTATATTTCCTAGGCTATGTCACCTGGATGCAATAAATAATTCCAGAAAAGTCCTGCACACAGCATAGGTTGTCTGAAAATATCTTACTTCCTCATATACAGAACTCCATAAAAGTACAGCAGTAAACAGTCTCTCTAATGCGTTACAGCCATAGCGACCCTAATCATAGCTATAATTAAGGCTGTTATGGCTGAAATGCATTAGCCGGACTGTTTATTGCTGTACTTTTATCGAGTTTTGTATATGAAGAATTAATACATTTTCAGATGTCCTATGCCTGTGCAGGACTTTTTCTAGAAGTATTTAGTGCAATTGGACAAGCAGGAGCTTTGTACTTGGTTCGAGTGATTCCTGCAAGCTGGAAGTAGGTACGGAGTTAGAGCCATAATATACACTATATTGCCAAAAGTATTAGGACGCCTGCCATTACACATGAACTTTAATGGTATCCCATGTCTTTATGGACCTTGCTTTGTGCACTAGTGCGCAGTCATGTTGGAACAGGAAGGGCCCATCCCCAAACTGTTCCCACAAAGTTGGGAGCATGAAATTGTCCAAAATGTCTTGGTATGCTGATGCCTTAAGAGTTCCCTTCACTGGAACGAAGGGGCCAAGTCCAACCCCGGGAAAACAACCCCACACCATAATCTCCCCTCCACCAAACTTTACACTTGGCACAATGTAGTCAGGCAAGTACCATTCTCCTGTCAACTGCCAAACCCAGACACGTCCATCGGATTGCCAGACAGAGAAGCGTGATTGGTCACTCCAGAGAACACATCTCCACTTCTCTAGAGTCCAGTGGCGGCGTGCTTTACACCACTGCGTCCGATGCTTTGCATTGCACTTGGTGATGTAAGGCTTGGATGCAGCTGCTCGGCCATGGAAACCCATTCCATGAAGCTCTCTACGCACTGTTGTTGTGCCAATCTGAAGGCCACACAAAGTTTGGAGGTCTGTAGATATTAACTCTGCACACAGTTGGGGACTTCTGTGCACTGTGCGCTTCAGCATGTGCTGACCCCGCTCTGTCTTTTTTTACGTGGCCTACCACTTCGTGGCATTTGCTGTTGTTCCCAGTTGCTTCTACTTTGTTATAATACCACTAACAGATGATCGTGGAATATTTAGTAGCAGGGACGTTTCACAGAACACCTGAATCCAATGATTTGGAGGGTGTCCAATACTTTTGGCAATATAGTGTATGTTTCTTGTTTGCATGTCATTTGGAGTCCTGAGAGTCCTGTGACTCAAAGAAAAAACGAATTGACGTGCTATTTATATCCTAATTGTCCCTCTAACAAAATCCCACTGCAGGTTTAGGAACAAAAGTCATGTGTAAGGTACAACCTCATGAAAAATTCAAACACACAAGATACCTCCTCCTGCTCTTCCACCTTTGCACCTCTCCGCAGGCAACTTGGAGTCATACGGACATAGATGAAGCCCTGTATTCTTTGGTTCACTACACACATGAATCACCCTTTAAAGGATTAGATGCTGTTGTACATTTAGGAAATATCTGATCTCTGGCATCACTTTTATGCTGACAACCATTTTTTTTATACCGTATACCGTATATACTCGAGTATAAGCCGAGATTTTCAGCCCATTTTTTGGGTGAAAAGTGCCCCCCTCGGCTTATACTCGAGTCAGCGCCAGCGCGTCTTCTTACTTACCTCGCCGAGCGTCGCGTCACTGCTGCTCGGTGTGCGGCGCTCCGAGCGGGGTCATCTGGCAGTCTCCGGGTCCTAATTTAGGTGGCCGGAGACTGCCAGATGACCCCGCTCGGAGCGCCGCACACCGCAGCAGCAGCGACGCTCGGCGAGGTAAGTAAGAAGACGCGCTGGCGCTGACTCGAGTATAAGCCGAGGGGGGCACTTTTCACCCAAAAAATGGGCTGAAAATCTCGGCTTATACTCGAGTCAGCGCCAGCGCGTCTTCTTACTTACCTCGCCGAGCGTCGCGTCACTGCTGCTCGGTGTGCGGCGCTCCGAGCGGGGTCATCTGGCAGTCTCCGGGTCCTAATTTAGGTGGCCGGAGACTGCCAGATGACCCCGCTCGGAGCGCCGCACACCGCAGCAGCAGCGACGCTCGGCGAGGTAAGTAAGAAGACGCGCTGGCGCTGACTCGAGTATAAGCCGAGGGGGGCACTTTTCACCCAAAAAATGGGCTGAAAATCTCGGCTTATACTCGAGTCAGCGCCAGCGCGTCTTCTTACTTACCTCGCCGAGCGTCGCGTCACTGCTGCTCGGTGTGCGGCGCTCCGAGCGGGGTCATCTGGCAGTCTCCGGGTCCTAATTTAGGTGGCCGGAGACTGCCAGATGACCCCGCTCGGAGCGCCGCACACCGCAGCAGCAGCGACGCTCGGCGAGGTAAGTAAGAAGACGCGCTGGCGCTGACTCGAGTATAAGCCGAGGGGGGCACTTTTCACCCAAAAAATGGGCTGAAAATCTCGGCTTATACTCGAGTCAGCGCCAGCGCGTCTTCTTACTTACCTCGCCGAGCGTCGCGTCACTGCTGCTCGGTGTGCGGCGCTCCGAGCGGGGTCATCTGGCAGTCTCCGGGTCCTAATTTAGGTGGCCGGAGACTGCCAGATGACCCCGCTCGGAGCGCCGCACACCGCAGCAGCAGCGACGCTCGGCGAGGTAAGTAAGAAGACGCGCTGGCGCTGACTCGAGTATAAGCCGAGGGGGGCACTTTTCACCCAAAAAATGGGCTGAAAATCTCGGCTTATACTCGAGTCAGCGCCAGCGCGTCTTCTTACTTACCTCGCCGAGCGTCGCGTCACTGCTGCTCGGTGTGCGGCGCTCCGAGCGGGGTCATCTGGCAGTCTCCGGGTCCTAATTTAGGTGGCCGGAGACTGCCAGATGACCCCGCTCGGAGCGCCGCACACCGCAGCAGCAGCGACGCTCGGCGAGGTAAGTAAGAAGACGCGCTGGCGCTGACTCGAGTATAAGCCGAGGGGGGCACTTTTCACCCAAAAAATGGGCTGAAAATCTCGGCTTATACTCGAGTCAGCGCCAGCGCGTCTTCTTACTTACCTCGCCGAGCGTCGCGTCACTGCTGCTCGGTGTGCGGCGCTCCGAGCGGGGTCATCTGGCAGTCTCCGGGTCCTAATTTAGGTGGCCGGAGACTGCCAGATGACCCCGCTCGGAGCGCCGCACACCGCAGCAGCAGCGACGCTCGGCGAGGTAAGTAAGAAGACGCGCTGGCGCTGACTCGAGTATAAGCCGAGGGGGGCACTTTTCACCCAAAAAATGGGCTGAAAATCTCGGCTTATACTCGAGTCAGCGCCAGCGCGTCTTCTTACTTACCTCGCCGAGCGTCGCGTCACTGCTGCTCGGTGTGCGGCGCTCCGAGCGGGGTCATCTGGCAGTCTCCGGGTCCTAATTTAGGTGGCCGGAGACTGCCAGATGACCCCGCTCGGAGCGCCGCACACCGAGCAGCAGTGACGCGACGCTCGGCGAGGTAAGTAAGAAGACGCGCTGGCGCTGACTCGAGTATAAGCCGAGGGGGGCACTTTTCACCCAAAAAATGGGCTGAAAATCTCGGCTTATACTCGAGTATATACGGTATACATTACAAGTGTTCTTATTTTGCAGGCCACATGTGGCGGAATCCTTCGGGGCACCGGGAAGCAGAAGATCGGGGCCATCTTTCATGCTGTTGGCTATTATATTATCTGTCTGCCAGTGGCTGTTTCGTTGATGTTTGCAGCCAAGATTGGCATAATTGGTAGGTTTTTATCTGTCCATACCCTCAAAAACAGATTATACAGCCAAACTAAAGCTCCATAAATCCTACATACTACAGATAAAAAAGCAATAATTCCAAAGGATAGCACTAAGATGTGCTCCCGTGTCACAAACAATGGCTTTGTATACAAAGGCAAATACTTTAAGCGCCATATTTATGATGCAGTTAAAGGAGAACTATGAAATGGGTGATTTTCACTCAACCTCATAGTTCGAGCCGACGTGTGACAATGAAACTGTCACACGTCGGCTCAATAGATCGGGAAGTGAGCAAACACATACCGTCGCTCGCTCACTTCTCGATCCTGTCCTTGCAGAGAGCGATGACTGTCACTCACTGCTCCCTGCAGGGATTCCCCCCCATCCGATCCTCCAGCGCTGACTGGAGGAACAGACGGGGGAGGGGGCTGGTACAGCTGGCTCTGCCTCTAGATAGGCAGAGTCAGCTGTCAATCATGCAGCTGAGTGGATCTCGACAGTAATGTCGGGATCCGTCCCGGCTGCGGCGGTCTCAGTACAGCTCGCGGTATATTGAGCTTTGGGTCACGGGAGGACGCTAGTTTATGTCCTCCCCTGACCCTGAGGAGAACTATGGGGAAAAACACTTACCCCATAGTTCTCCTTTATTCTTACATTCTGTGTGCTTTTACTCCAGAATAATTGCAACAACGTCTATATCATAGTTACAGTACATCACATTAGGGATTCCAGTTCTTATATTGAGTTATAGAGACTGCATGGGTATTGCATTCGTCAGAAGATGGTTCCTGTATAATAAATGTTTCAAAAAATATGGAACAGTCTTTACTCCAATTTGTTTTATATCTCATCCATAAGCGACGGACAAAGTCAGATCCAGGTGTACAGAAGATGGAGTCTATACAACAGTCACCCTCTTTTCAGATTACATGATTCAGTGTTCAGTAAAGTCTGTTGGGAATATATGGAGTCAGTCTTAAAGTGACCTATTCACTAGCTGAGAGGAGTCAGGCCAGTAGCAGCCCATAAAAAAAGATGAATTCTCATGTTTTCAGCAGTTGGGAACCCAGATCTTTGATCAGTTGCAGAACCACCACCACTGTTGCCATCCAGTACTTCCTGATGCATTGGATATCATGTCCCCAGCTGTATGCTTTGGTTCCTTCCGCCAACCCATATGTCACTACTATGTCTTGTATTGCCGTAGAGGGTTCCGAGAGGCCGCAAGGGACAACAACATACCCAAAATAACATTTCCAACATACCCAAGTATCGGATACAATGGCTGTAGCTGTGCAACAGAGCAAAGGTTTAACACACCACCCATTTGAAATTTGCAGTAGCAACACAATAATAAGAGTAGACAAAAGGATAGCTGATATCTTTTTATTGCTGTGTGTGTGTCTACTGTATTGCAGATATCAGCAAGTGCAGTGTAAAGGGACTTGACAAGATGCGGTTCTCTCATGCACAGACCAAGACCGCTGCTCATAGGGTTGAATGTATGTTATAAGCAGCAGGTGTTGGGTGCTCCAGAGGCACTGGGCACAGCCTCATGCAGGCAGGGCTCCGATAGGTGCAACTTACAGTCTACACCTGCCATAAGTGTGAGCAAGTAACATTTTTTAATCTTTTTTTTGTTCTGTATTAGAAGAAACTTTAAAACTGCAAATTCTATGTGGTCTATTTATAAACAATTTGCAGGACTGTTCACCCGCCAATATCTGTGAACAATCATTTTGGGCGAATAATTCCAAAAACAAATGTTCTTATTTTTCCTAGTTCCAACACAGTGTGTTGTAATGCAACATTATGGCCACTAGATTGAGCTGAGGAGCATAGGAAATACATTTTTAATAATTTTCCCATTGCATCATGGGAGTTGGGCCCTTAGTTCATAAGGGCTCAGCTGAGACATGCTGAGTGGATGTGGCTTAAGAGTGAAAAAATACCCCATTGTTGCACAATCTGATCTTAGCAGAGACTTGAGCTCTGGAAATGATAACACATAAAGAGCGCAGAATGAAGAAAACACAAGCTGAATTGTCAATGTTCTCGCCAACATCATCGCTGCCTGTTCCCAGATAATCAGACATTATTTTCCCCGCAGGGTTCTGGATCGGTGCTCTCCTCTGTGCATTCTTACAATGTATTGGCTTCCTGATCTTCGTATTCCGCATTGACTGGGACAAGGCCTCTCAAGAGGTGAGAGTTCAAAAGCTAATGTTCCAGAGATAGCGGTGTAACACTGTGAACTGCCAATGACATCCAAATAAGGTCCGTTATGTGAATTCAAAAAAAAAAAAACGAAATATAAAAAAGGCCACATGCAAAACTGTCCAGTGTGTAAAGTTCTGAAACAGACCCGAAGCCCAAACCTAGCCAAAATGTTTGGGGGATGGAACTGAGAAAGGGTGAAAATTACTGCCAGGTTTTTTATTCCTGCCTGTGACCCCATTAGGTAGATGTTACCTCACTTTCTGTCCGTGTGACACCATTTGAAGAAATGGGGGGATGTTGTCATATGACCATGGACAGTAATTAAACATTCCCCGCTCTAATGTGTCTGTGTCTATGTTGGAGAGATTTCCTGTAACTTTCTGTCCTACCAGGAAGTGAGGAGAAATCTCCCAAATAAGGACACAGACAGCAATGACTTTCTAATAAGGGTTCTAGGACTGTCCGTCCGATCCCAAAAAATGAAATCTAGAGTTTAGGCATCAAAATCTAGTACACCAAGGAGCCAGAAGTCTGTGTTTGCATTCTGAGTGTCTCAGATGTGCAATTCAGTAGTTATCGGTAATTACAAATCATTTCTGGTATCTTTTGGCACAGAGTTTGAGAGTTTTGGCTTAGCAGCCCCCTCTTTTCTAGTGAAATTGCTTACTCTGATTTAACTGCACAATGTGAGCTTTTCACAATGTGCATTGGAAGCTGCAGCAAGTCAAACAGAGGCTGCATTGTTTCTTGTGCAAGGACGTCCAGCTCCATCTAGTCCTTTCCCTCTTAGACTGACTGTCCCTGACTCACCCCTTTCATTCATTGGATGTCAGTTCTTTCAATCAGCATCACATGTGTGTTTACCTAGGGCGGTCTGCATGCCAATGATGCCCACCTAGAACGCTCACTCCTCCAGAATGACCTCTACCCATCAAGGCATTTTGATATTATTATTATACAGGATTTATATAGCACCAACAGTTTGCGCAGCACATTACAACATGAGAGACAGTACAATTACAATACAATGCCATACACAAGGATTAGAGGGCCCTGTTTGTGAGAGCTTACTTGCAATACTCCTCCCAAGAGTCATTCAGCTGCTTGCTCCATTGGCAACAAGTACAGAAAACCTCAGAACTCAGACTCCGGCTTTCATTTTCAAGGCGCATTGGCTACCTGGCTGCTGAGGTTTGTCCAACCCTGGGGTAACCTAACAGGAACATGCAGGCAAGGAGCAGAGGAGGCTAGAACCTTTGGTAGCCTTTTTACTACTGTCTGTGTCTCCACCAATGATTTGCCATCACTTCCTGGCACAGTGATAACGCTATGAGCAGGACAGGAAATAAAAAGAAATATGCCTTATTGGAAACAGAAATAAACATTACGAACGGGTCATTAAATGGATTTTCTGACTTTAACAGTTACATTGTTTCCAGGATATCATTAGCTGTTCACTGATTTTGATTACTGCTTGTATTTTCAGCAAACATGTTTTATCTTATTGCAGGCACAGGCACGAGCTAAAGACAGGCAGATGATATTGGCTGCCAACAGCGACCCAGCAATTTATCAAAGGGCATCTGTGAAGGGTGAGTAAGACAGAGAATCTTCCGCTAAGATTGTCCTAGATAGGAAAAGATTTGGAAAATAAATTCTGCATAATAGATTTTTTTATGCCCAAAGTGTTCTGTACATATACTGTATGTCACCTCATCTCTAGATCCACTCTAGTCTTTATATACACATACATTGTCCTTAGATACAGAATGGAATGAGTGAACAAAGAGGTCTCATTTGTAGATTTCATTTTTCCTTCTTTTGGTTAGCGTGTGAAAGGGTTAAAACGTGTCAGGTTTCTTATTGCCCAAGAGGAGGTGAGAGCAAGGCTCTGGACCAAGTTTTCTAGGTGCTCGGTGGAGGGTCTATGGTTGAGTCCAATGGCCTGGGTTCAGCAGCTACCCACGGACTCTGTGTTCTCCCCGAGTACAGGGGTCACCCAGTTTTGAAATCTGTAGTTGAGCACTAAGGAGCACCAAAGCCACATTTTATAGTACTTTGTTGATTCCACAATCATCAGGAAGATAACAAGAGATATCCAATGCGCTTTGGGGCCTCAACAGTTCCCCTTCATCTGGGGAATTCCTTGCTGACCCACAAAAGGACTCTAACTCAGGAGCCTGGGCTTGTGTATCATAGCCAAAAACGGGTAGCCGGTGGATGTCATTATTAGACAGCTTTGCAGCCACAGTTTTCTTTATTTTTTTTTTATTGCTGCCTGTGTCCTACTGCGGAGATTTACCCTCTATATTTGTTCAGGTGACCACTGTTATGCAAAATTTCTACAGTTGTCACCAGAAATGGAAGTGAAGAGGAATCTCTCCAGTGGGACACAAAGCAAAAAAAAAAAAATAT